TTTTTTTGTTGGGGGGGGGGGGGGGAGGCATGTCATCTTCAGTCCTCGAGCTGGCGCTGGCTAAAACGGCTCCCCCGCAGCTCAAGCTACACACCAGCCTGCACTTCCGCCTGTGGACTTGGCAAATCCGACTGAGCAGGCGCCTTAGGCCCTGAACGGGCCTTTCTTTGGGCTGGACTCGGAGCGGATCGCTCCAGCGAGCCGCCCCAATGCATGGAATCGGGCACCAGGGTTTTCATCTCAGAGCTTTAGAGGGCTTGGGAGGCTTGGGAGGCTTGGGAGGCTTGGGCTTGGCCTCTGAGATCAAACCCCTGTGGGAACAGAATCCCGAGGACCTGCACGGAGCATGAATTCATGGCCTCGCATCAAAGAGGCAAAGGCCCATCACCTTGGGTCCAAGGTGGCAGACCCTCCAGTCGAGCCTCAAGCCTGCACTGCTTCGACCCCATGTGACAAGGCATTTTGCGTCCATCCGAAGGGCCGCCATCCAACGGCCCACATACGTCGAGGACTTCGCCCTCAGCGAGCGGCAGTGCACTCGCAGCTGCAAGGCTCAGCCCTTGCTCCGCCAAGTGACATGACTGTTCAGGAGAAGCCCCACGAAGTCGATGACCAGACGCCAGAGTTCCTGAGAATGGATCTCCCGAAGCTGTGTCTGAGATCCCTGCGCACCGAAAGATGAATCAAGTGCTTTTCAAGCGCGTCGCCCCCACGTCTCTCACTGGAACCGACGCGTTCTGAAACCCGTCTGCAGCCAGGCCGCTGGTGGCATTTCGTCAAAGACCTGTGCAGCGAAAACGTTGTGGCTGCCCTGAGGCTTTCGGAATCAGAAAGGCGAAGAAGAAAAAACAGAGAAGCAAGCGCAGCATTCATGTCGTGCTTGGCCTTCTGCCGGAGCTGTGCTAATGCCAGAAGCAGCCGAGAGCGTCGAGGTGCAGCGAAGATCCTCTGTGACTCATCTGACAGGGATGTGACCTTACAAACTGAAGAGAAGTATCTGTACACATACACGGTAATGTACAGGTACATGTACGTATTTACTGCCTGTCTGCCTGGCCTGACTTGCTTCCTTACGTACGTACCATTCATGCATGCTGCAGCGTTGCCATGCCCCCGCCCGTTCCTTCCGCCCCTTCGCCCGCCCATGGTATGGTTGCCCTTCCCGGTTCCAGGGTAACACTGACAAGTGCTTTTCCTTTGTGTGAGCATGTTTGGTTCTGCCTCCAATCCCTATCGATTGTTTATTGTGCTTTGAACTTCAGTCTCATCCCTATGTGCATGTTTCTTATTTAAGAGTCACGAGGATCGAAACACCAGATGTGCCTGTTGGCAGTTGGCCCTCGAGAGACGTCCCAAGGACACCATCCGGAAATGCTAAAAGCAGTGGCCTTGAGACAAACAGTGAAAGGGCACCTGGCAGTCCAAGCCCTCTCGAAGAAATATTCCGAAAACACCTGGAGGCTCCCAAGACCACCCCGAGTGTCGAAAAGTGTGGGGCGACGTGGCAGAGCACAATTGGCATCCCGGAACACTGTGGCGTGACACTCGCGAGCACGATACCCCTTAGAACGGCGGGATTTCGAGACGCATGGGGAGCGCCAAAGCATTGGATATTGCAATGAGTTTGGCGCTCCCAGGAGTGCCGACCAGATCAATTTGCGAACGCCTAACAACCCCTCACTTTATCACACTGTTGGGGTCTCTTCGATCGGCACCTGGCGGCGTAGTTCTCGATGCTCCCACGATGCACTGCCTGCAGTGGACTAATTATGACAGCAGGGGTCTGCTGGGCGCGCTGGAGTGTCCCGTCCCCTGCTTAAGTTTCTTCAGCTCTGAGAAAGCTTCCGCGGCGTGAGCACTTCACTGAATAGCGACTGAGCAGCAGCTCCGGAAACGAAAAGAAAGCTGTTGCCACACAAAGCCTTGGGTCTCTCGAGCTGAAGTGCTATGCATGCCGCCTCGTTGAAACGACTATCACCCTGCCGTCTTGTGTGTGCTGCACTCGGCCAAACTGCTAGGAAATGCTCGCATGGCTCCCGCACTCGGACTTCCCCTGCAAGCAAACTTGGGGATGAATGCACCGAAGGCTCGGCACTCATGCCCGCAACATCAGGTCCCCATCGGGTGGCCTTGGAGAGGGGCTTGAGATCTGGGTTCTTTCGGCTCTGTGAATTCAAGTTCCGTGAGTGCATGCTGCGACCTTGCCCAGCCACGTGCCATGTGGCCTCGGTCTTCGCGGCCCAGGATCCAAACGTGTCCTCGGTCTTTCCATGCAAAATTTCCATGGCATTTGCCACAGGCCTATACCTCGAAGCAGGTACCCCCCCAAATCTTCCATCACATGCAGGCGATGTTTTTCTCAGCCTGTCTTGGAGCCAAGGTGCAATGCGAAGTACAAGCCCTGGCTTCAGGCGCCTGCCCCTGCGTGGAACTTGCTCTGGGCTTCAAATTGGCAACCTCTTGTTGCAGGAATGTCTCCCGCTATCTCGCATCTTCTACGTGGGGAACAAGATGCAGCGACGCAGCCTTCTTTCTAGATTGTGCTCATGCCACCCTTGTCACACTTGCTTCTTGGCCCAAGCGCTTGACAGCAGCGAGACTCTCAGTGCTTAAACAGGCTTCTTTATGCTGTCTTATGGCTTCTCCAGTTTAAGTCTCGTGCCACGACGTAGGGAAGAAGTTCTTTCTCACTGGTCTGCTGTTCGTGGCCTGTTCGTTGGTATGGTATGATGTCGGGAAGTCTGGCTTTTCTCTAGGGCTTGATTCCCACAACAAGCATCACCAGAATGTTACCTCACCAAGGTGCCTTGCAAGGGAGTCCTTAAGGACTGCAGTCGAGTGTAGAAGGCAGGGCCCATTTGCGACTTGAACTGACGGCTCTTGGAAAGACCCCCTCGGGGCCTACAGAAGGGCAGGAGCCGATTCAATGGCTTGCCGCCCTGCGACAATTGCCTCGGGTTACGGGCAGAGCTACCTCCCACATGTGAGCACGTCGGAGGTCCTATATCGGCTGGGATTCCACCCTTCAGGGACTTCGGGGGAGTCTCCGGGGAGTTGCGAGGTAGTCGCCTAGAGACCGAAGTTGAACTCATCAACTTCTTGGAAAAGACGTGCTAAAGTCAATTGAAAGTCATTGAAACCCATGAAATGCCCCTAGAGGGCCCTCTCGCCGAGAAGCAACAGATTCATTGTTGCAGATGCGGGGGAAGTGGAGCTAAACATCGGCAGGGATCGGACTCCGAAGTCCTGCCAACATTCGTCCGAAGCAAGAGCTGCAACTTTCATGGAGTGGGATAGGCGCCTGCCTCCCACCTGCAGTTGCCGTGGCCATCTCGGATCACATACCTTCTCCCAAGGAGCAGCAGAAAGCCCAAAGAGGAGCCCCAAGTATCGCCCGGCAAAAACCAGGAGAGGCCAAGATGCTTGTATTCCAACCAGAGAGGCATCTCCCGAGAGTCCTCTTGCTGCACAGGCAAGCAAGGTACAAGCAAGGTGCCGCTTCGATGCGAAGAGCGCGTGTTGGCTTTTTTGAGTTCGCTTCGTCTTCGCGTCTTCGCTCGCTTCTCTGATACTTTCTCTCTGCTTCTGCGCGGCGGGGCGGCGGGGCGCTGATCTCAGGAGCTTCCCGGAGCCACGGGCACGGGCCAACGGGACGAGGGGCGGGGCCTTCGGGGCAGTGGGCTTTCGGGGCTAAGGTTTTCGGGGCTAAGGCGTGCGGAGTTTCTGAACCCTAAGGTCGCGGAGGCAGAACACCTGTTATTGCCTACCTGATGTATGATCATGCACGATCCAGCGGTCTCCAGCATGAGCTTAAATAACATGGATCGGTCTCTTCTGCACTCTTGCACGTTCTCATTCTCGTGCACATACCATGTTTTCAGGCTAGTTCAATCGAGGCCTCAGCCTCAGAATACATCGCCTTTGTAGTAATGAGTCATGAGCGCACGGGGCCGAACTTTTAGCTCGATACTTATATATGAGTATGCTCGCCAACAACGTACTGTGTTGTTGAACGCGCTGGTCTTGCATAGACACCTGGCATTGTTAGCAGATTGATTCGCAGACTCGCTCACTCACTCACACGTGACTGATCTCGGTTGGTCATAACTGTTTGATTGTATACTGGAACACTCACTCACGTCACGCCTTCCTAGCACATTCTGGGCAATGGCAGCTACATTATCCCCAAAGGCCAAACATTACTCAGCCAGTTTCCTCAGCCACCAGGAGCGGAGCTGTCAGGGTCCACATAGGGAATGTGTCCTGCCCAGTTCCTTGCAAAGCTAGGGATCTGAAGCGAGGGCCTCAAAAACTTGGGGCAGGGAATGCACAGATTTCGGGGTTTAGTGAAGGTGCGATTTCCCCCAACGATATTGCTGCTTGGAGCTTCTGCGGGAATGCCTTCCTCCAGCAGGCACTAGCAACGATCTGTCAACACCCGCCCTTGTCTACAATCCCAAATCGTTTTGCCAAGTCACGGCCCAAGAACGAAATAATGCCCATCCCACGAAATCAAACAATTCGGGTTTCGCTGAGTGTGCTAAAGCAGGAAAGGAAGTCTGAGGATACTGCGCAGCTGAACGCCGCGCTCCACAGCCCAGTCCCCCAATGCCTCGAATCTGCAGAGTAGATGGACTACATGCCTGCACATGCATCACATGCACATTCATAGCCGCTTAGGCCTGGACCTACTCATCTCAAACGCATATGTCTTTTACAGCTGTGTCTTTGCAGCTAAGAGGCTGGGTGATTTCCAACAGCCACCTTTGGTCAGGCCACGGCAAAGAGTTAAGAGTCTTTGGATGCGCCAAAGACTGACGAGTGACCAGCTCCTCGCCGAACTGCGTCTCGGCGCAGATGCACTCCAGCCATACTTCGAGAGGCAT